CTCTACCTATCTCTCAAGCTCTCTACCTCTATTTCAGGGGCTTCAACGTCAAGATTAGAAGTTGGAAAACTAGGGTTTGACTGTCTTACAGTCTCAATCTCCCTCTCTCTTTCTCTAAATTTCGTTTTAATTGATGTTCATATTCAGATTTTTTAATTCAATATGTTTGGTTATTTGAAAACTAGATAAACTTCAAAATATTTGACTATCTGAGTAATAGGTACTTCCCAAAAATCACATGTTATTCACCTTACAGTCTCAATCTCCCTCTCTCTTTCTCTAAATTTCGTTTTAATTGATGTTCATATTCAGATTTTTTAATTCAATATGTTTGGTTATTTGAAAACTAGATAAACTTCAAAATATTTGACTATCTGAGTAATAGGTACTTCCCAAAAATCACATGTTATTCACCTTTTTGTATGTTTAGACTATAGAATTCATGAAGTAAGCATAGATTGCATTTAAGACATTATATCATACATATGCACACCATCCGATAAGACAATCCGAAGTTTACTACATATACCCCGACATATCCCCGATTTCCGCTATCCGACGTGACTTTTAGTCGTCCAACATGAACCCGACATCCGACATTTAAAACCTTAGAAAGAAGCAGAGGAAAGCTTTTACAAATGATAAGGTACTTTAGACTGTTCACTAGTCAAAGTGGGGAGGGTCAAATGTTTGAAGAGGTCTAGAAATTGAAGCATGTTTCTCTAACTGTTTTCTCCTTTTTACTTCAACTGCCTTTTTGTGATCTGTATAAAAGTTGGTCTATATCACTTGCTCTCCAATAATAGATCCCAGCCTTTGGTCCAGCCAAAAACTTGAACATCCAACCCCTCACCCAAATTTGGGTTAGGCTTGTACAACCGAGTATGCAGCTTCTTGCATCCCACATTGGCTGCTCCTTCACAATTTTCACGCCGTTCCTGCATCCTCCCAGTGACGTGGCTCACCCTAGCACTTCAGGAGTCCAGATTTAGCTCTGTTCCAAAACTGATTGGATCCACTCAGTTGATCTAATTCAGGTCGGATTTGGATCAGGTTTCTATGCCATTATTTTTCCATGAATTTAACCCAAAGCAGCAGGAACATGGCTGTATCACTATAAAATTTCACCTATCCTACTCAATACACAGGTGAGAAGCAAAATAAGAGCATGTCATGGAAAGAAGTGATTTTCCATCCATTCAGAAAATAGACATGAAACTCATAATAAAATTGACTATCGGAAAAAGCAACTGATATTAAAACCTTTAGCAAAATGGAGAAGTAACCTAATTTTGAGAGTTCAATAAGCAAAGATAACAGGAACCATAAGAAAGTATTGCCAAATTCTCAATTTTGAAACAGGTTACTGTTTACAAATTACTTCAGTAACAGTTAGTGCACATAGTGCCGTATTCATGTTTTATGAAATTAAGTGATAAATATAGCATACAGCTCACTAGAGAAGAGACATACATAAGGAGGTGACTAACGCATTCAGTGTTGAAACTGTTGGAAGTAACTTGATAGCCTTAATTTCTTCATACAACTCCAGTGCTTTCTGCCAATTGTTTGCCTGAAACAAGCGATTAGCTCAGTTAATATTGTACAAATTCTTTACATGTAGATATTTGAAAATTTCAATGAAAAATCTAGTGATGAATGCAGAATGGTTCATGTTGTTAAAATTAAATCCTCTTACGGCTTAAAATTTTGAAAAAGAAAAATGCTTGTTAGGTGTTGCTCACATAGCCGCTTTTGCTTACAGGAATACTCTAAAACGTATAAACCATCGAAAGTACAGAACTATTACATTTTCACTTGGCAAAAAAAATATATTACAGTACATACATTGCAGCAGGCTCCCATCAGTGAGCTATACGTGACATTTCCAAGTTGCATTCTTTTGCTTCTTGCATCTTGCAGGATTTCAAAGGCAGTATCAACTTTTCCAGCATGCCCGGCAACATCTATTAATGTGCTGAGGAACATCTACATTCAATAATACTAGAAAATCAGAAACTAAGCTGATATCCATAATCATATGTCTAGAAAGTTACAACGTAAGGCATTGGCATGTCATCTACATGGATAAATATTAGACAAGTAGAATCATAAGGTTAGAAAGTTATAAATTAAGGCATTGGCATATCCATCAGGTGCTGAATTATTACCTCATCAGGTACAACACCATTCTTTTTCATGTCGCTGTAGATGCTTAGAGCAAATTCCAAGTCACCTGTCTCGCTACAGCTCTTGACCGCAATTGTATAAACATCTGGAGTCCCCTTAATGTTATATTTATGAAGCATTTCATAAACTGCTCGAACACGATCAACCTAAAAAAATAACAATGTTAGCAAAGATGAATGCAGAATATCAACTATTTGGACTTCACAGAAAGTTTTAACAAAGGATGCAGCCTTAGAAGAGTTGACCCGAAAAAAAGATTCTTTTAGCAAGCCAAAAGCTTGGGACTGTGATGTTCCTGTTCCTGAGAGACAAGATATCAACTACGCGTAGTTTATGGTTGAAGTTAACCAGATTTATATAGCTTAAGTAGTACCTGACCAGCTTGGATGCACGTCTTCATCAGAGCACCAACAGTTACATGATCGGGGTCTATCGGTTTAGCCTCAGCCCTCATCTCCGCCAAAACGTCAAAAGCACGATCAACAGCTCCTGACTGACCGCATGCAGTAATAAGCGCGTTAAATATAACTCGATCTGGCTGCACCTTCTACTGCACAAAAGACCATAGTAAGTGTGCAGAAAATGTCTCTGACACCATCATGAACTTACAAATGACTAATCTGCACGTGTCCTGATGACACAAATAGAATCTAGAACGATGTAAAATAAATATTAGATACTTGATGACAGCCATACCTTGGATCTCATAATTCCGTAAGCACCAAATGCTTTGGCCACTTGTCCAGCTCTTGCACAACCATCAATAAGTGCACCATAAGTATGGAGGTTCGGATCCACTCCAGCATTTACCATTTCATGAAAAATCTAGGAAAATGCTTGTCACTCAATGGATATTAGAGCAATTAATGAAAAAAACCAAGTAACAGTTAGATGAAAACATGAACAAGTAACTCATATGCCATAACATGCTTCTCAGAGACTGGGTTAAGCAAGTTAAAGTTTTGAAAGTGAATCCATACATTAAAATTAATTTAGGGCTCTTCAATGGATTAGTGGACATATAGAAATCAGAAATGAATGCACAAGGAAGCTTGCAAATATCAATGAGCAGTAGGTACAAGAGAAGAGATATAAACTTCAACTTTTTATGGATGTATGTGCTAATAAACTATAATAGAAGGTTGTATATGTAACAAAATCACATATGGATACATAGGCATAACTCCAGGTTTAACCACAAAAAACATAAATAAATGACAGTAACTTGAAAAGCGTACACTTCCCCCCTTCCCCTTCTAATGTACTTAAACTCGACTGCACTCGTTTTGCTTCAACTGCCATTCGACTGCAAACTGCCCACCATCCAATTTTGAGGGATAGGACTCTCTCGTTCACAGGAACCTATCTGACATCCACTCAGATGGGGATGACGTCATGTTCATAGTCAGTTGAAAAGTTTATTAATTCGTGGAGTTTCTAAAGTTTGAATGTGGCGCCACATACACCCCTTCAAGGTTGGACATACAAAATAATGAAGATGTGACAATGACCATGAATCTTATTTTGTTAGGGATTCTCACAATTTATCAGGTGTTTCAATTTTTCAGATACGATGGTAAAAAAACAACTGATAGATATGGGAAGGAGATGAATTCAAAAATGTTCAAAGAATGAGAATGGAAAGGAGTCTTTTTCCTTAAGATTGCCCTAAATGTATGTGTTATCATGAAATAATGTGTGTCAAATGAGGAAAGCTTGCTAATCGTCAGGGATAAATGATAGGGATATTTGTTTCACTTTATTTACCCATCTTATTTAACTTTACATTTTGAAAAACTGAATTTTTATCAATACAACATTAGTTGGTATCAATATGCATGACAGATAGCTAGCTTATTTGCGTGATTGAAGAGAGTTAAAGTTGAAATTCAGTGTCCTGGTGCATGGACGTGTATGACATCATTAGAAATTTATTATATATAATCCATCTATGTTGCACTACCACATGCTGGGGCTACCATATTCATTGCTCATAATAATTCTTTTCTTACATTTACTGTGTGCAAAAGGCTGACATACTTTCATGGGTCACCCTTGTTCTCAAGTATTCAAATTCTTTTGCATTTCTCATATCATATTTTCATGGATTAGCATCTTGAGATCTTGTTATTTTATAGTTATGTCTGTAACCTACCTATATCTAACAATTTTCATTCCATGACTCCGGGTCTTTTATGAGTCTCTGTCCCGCACCATGCCATGCAGCACAGCCCCATGCTTCGCACTAAAAAGACCTTTTTAAAATAATAATTAGCAAAATCGATACTTTTGTGAAAATATTAGCAAAATCGACCTCTTTTTGGCCTGCTGGCCAAAAAGACGTCGATTTTGCAGACTATCAACTTTAAAATACATGGGACTAGTAATCCCGTGAAATTAGTTCTCGTTAATTAAATAATTAACCTTAACCATTTTAGCACAAAGTACACGGGACAACAATTTCAGATTAACCATAATTAGCAACCGCTAATTACATGGGACTACTAGCCCCATGTATTTTAAAATCGATATTTTGCAAAATCGACCTCTTTTTGGCCAGACGAGATGACGTGGCCAAAAAGAGGTCGATTTCGCTAAACATTTTAAAAAAACGACCAATTTCACTAAAAAATTTTTCAAAAATGGTTTTTAAAAAAAATTCTCCTCGCACTGCACATTTTACTTAACAAGCCTTCTATCATTGAGGTGTATAAAACTATAAAACTAGTAACAAACTGTCTTAAGATATTGTTTCTCAAATACCAAACTGCATTGGGTTGAATCCCAATTGATACACCTTCAATAAACCTTATGTTTTAACTGTTACTTGAATTTAGAACAGCAGCAACCAGCAAAACAGTGTACAAAATAATAAGACCAGAACAGAAATGCACTAATTTTGACCTTATATTACTCAAGTTTTCATAATCGAAAAAAATGAACTTGATCTAGTACGAAAAAGAAGAAGAAGAATGGACTAAAGTATAACGAAATTGTTTCCTTGTTGTATAAAAGATTAGTTAGCTATCATACTTCAAACATTGCATCAACTTTGCCACTCTTTGCACATGTTGAAATAAGTGTGGTATAAAGCTTGCAGTCAGGATTGAGCCCAGCCTCCTTGACTAGAAGCATAGCTTGAAAAGCTCCTAAATAAAAAATAAAGATAGGAATTTTGAACTACATGAGTACACTATGGGCCACATTTGATTTCTGAAGTTACAAACCCTAAACATGAAATAACATACCATCAAAATCCTGCGCACTTGCACAAACTGATAAAAGCATATTGAATGTGCTCAATGTTGGTTTCTGAATCAGTTTGCAAAAGCGGAAGGCTTCTTTAATTGCCTTCTGACTCTTGCAAGACTTCAGAAATTTCATGTGATGAACCTGACAACAGAGAATGTGTTTAGTCTAGAAACAAGTAGCAAGTGAAACAAATGAATCAAATGGAAATAAAACGGATGCAAGACAAAGAACTCACCTTGTCCATATCCAGCAATCCCTTGCTTTCAATTCTTTCCAGCAAGTCTATACAGTCCCCCAACCTGGTTAATCCAGGGTCACGTGGTTGTACGTATCAGTTGAAAATGATTCTAACCAAATGATGGATTCGATGAACTACCAGATTAATACAACCTCTTGACACGTTAACCTCTTAATCAATAATGAGATAGAGAGAGCATCAGACTTTACATTCACAATTATAAACAACCAGAGTAGGAAAGTTAAGTGATACCTTCCATCCCTTAGAAGGCGATCATAGGTTCTTAAGTATGTGGTTGAACCATTTACATCTCTTGGGAACCCATTTCGTAGAGGGGGAGTGTAGAAATCTCCATAGTTAATTTTATTCTTGAAAGTTTTAGTGTGTCTGGTGATGTCTTGGACTTCGATCAATTCATTTCCTTGGCTCACTGCACTTTCCTTTAAGCATCCAATTAGAGTTTGCCCTTCTAATAATCGGAAAAGTTCGCATGTTATTTAATTTGATGTTGAAGTAAATGAAAACATGCAATGTGGATCAAAGGAAATAATGATATAAAACTCAAAAACTGTGGAAGATAAATATTGCATACGTTCTAAGCATAACCTGCAGTAAGAGGAGAGCGTTTTGCAAGGATATTTGCACCCGCCAGAGCAGTCCCTAGCTGACTGACAGTGAGGTCACGTGGTTTGATACTCGAGTAGTTGAGGCGGGACATAGACTTCACAAGAGGCTGTCTTTTTCCTTTGTAACTAGAAACTTCTCCAGTAGGCTGTGCCAAAGGCCCAACATTGCTTGAAATAAGAGTTTCGCCATGCTTAGTTGCAATATGCCCAAGCTCATATGTATTCTGATTGGTATTGCCACTTTTCTTTTCAATAAAAGGTTCAGTTACAACTATGGGTGAAATGGCATCCGACATGCCTCCCTCATTTTGTAACAAACAATTTGGCATTTTCGCAGTGGCATCACCTTCTTGTACTGCTTTTAGCTCATTCTTCGCTAAAGAAGAAGTCAAAGCAACAAATCCATCCACTCCAGGCAATTCACTACAAGTAGGGGGATAATTAAGTTCAAGACCCGGTTGCACTTCATTAATAAGACTTTCTTCCCCCAACAAACCAGCTTTCTCAATCACCAGCTGCTTAACATCCTTTACATCAGAATCATAAACTTCCTCATGCAACATATTTTCTCTTCTCAAAAATGCATTGCCTTTTTCAAAGGGGATTTTACAACGGTTTTCACTACTCTGTGGCTGGTTTCCAACAGCTTCATGTTCCAAGATATCCTCGTCTAGTTTACAAAGCTCTCTATTAACCATCACATCTACATTTCCATCATCTGAAAACTATATAGTAGCAGAAAAATGGAAGTTAGGTCGTAGCAACATGATGCTCTATACAAATACCTTATTCATGGCAAATAGAAAATTAAAAAGTAAGAATAAACAATGATTTCTTCACATTAACGAAACACATTGACAAAGCACCTATTTTCTCTCAAATGATATTGAGTTTCAACTTTCAACTTGCTAGAAAGCAGAAAATTTACATTCATTTTTTTTTAAGAAAAAGAAGCTACTATATTTTAAGTTTTCCTATGACCTGGGCTCCTAGCATGAACCAAGTCTCCCAAAATCCAACACCGACCTTTCCTGTTGCACCAGGCCATGTTGGCATTATATTTTATGTTAATTAGTAGATACTCTATACTAAATGTCATTATTCTATTATCTAGCTAGAGACCATATTTAAAATTCAATTTCAATAAATACAATTTTAAGCCTACGGAATGTAAATTGGATCAAATTTAAGCAATAATGGTATTTTTCTAGGTTATTGACGTTTTTAAGCTATATAAGGATTATAATAAAGTATGGTGTTAACTATTTGATCAAACAAAATCATTATAAGGATCATAAATGTATAATATTTGCTAGCCAAGTGCATAAAAGCTGTTTTTTAGAGTAGAAAAGTCAACTATGAAACAAAAATTGAAAAGCTTCTTTTAAGCTCTCAAAGGAGGAGTCCCCCCATCTCCACCAACCACCCAATCAACATCGTGGATCAATGTATGCAAATATATTAACAAATACAAAAGATGAAAGAAACCAGAAAAATCAAGATTTTAACAAGATTCAGGAAAACCTGACTGCATAATGGGGAGAGACTTGGGGTCTTCGTTAACCATAGAATCCTAACTCTTCTGCCAAAATTCAAAATGCAACATGAGATCTCGAGAGGAGTAACCTTTCCGCTAATCTGATACAACATACAAGGAAGTACATAGAAAACAAACTCCCCATTGATAAAAAAAAACCCCATCTGTTGGTGAAGAAGGTTCACATTTTATGATATTATCGCTCTTTGATTACTTACATATCGCCCTTAAATCTTAATTTAAATGTATGATCGTAAATATCCTTACTTTCCTCCCTAGCATGAGGGTTTCAATCTAGATTTTTGTCTTCTTCTAGAATTCTTTGAGATTTTGAGAGATAATCGGATGACCTGAGGAGTTAAATGGACCTTAAACATAAGTCTGGACCCAAATAAATCCAAAAATTTAAAACATTAGGTACTTCCCGACCATTAATTTAAATCCATCACTATTTCTTAAGTCTTTCTGGGGGACCAAACTCATACATGAATACCCTACACTCTCCCCCTATGTTTGTATGCAAGTGTCAACATCCACAGGATATCATGTGCCCTTCACTGAAGTATGATCCTAAATATCCTTCCCTTCCTTCTTAGCATGAGGGTTCTGATCTACACTTACTTTTGTTTTCTTCTAGAATTTTTTGAGAGTTTGTGAGATGATCGGATGACCTGAGGAGAAACATAGGTCCAGAGCCAAAAAAATCCAAAACATTAAACTCTTAAGTACTTCCAACCACCTATTTAAATCGATCACTCTTTCTTAATCTTTCTGGGGGACTATACTCATATAAGAATACCCTACAATCTTTTCTTAATCTTTCTGGGGGACTATACTTATATAAGAATACCCTACAATCTCTCCCCACATTTGTAAGTATGTGTCAAAATCCATAGGATATCATGTGCCCTTAAACGACTTGGTCAATGCCGGCAACCATTGAGTTGCAACATGACCGCTGCTGTAATTAGATTTTCCACCATATGAGCTGCAAACCAGACTGTTCTATGTCTTCTGAGCAATCTATGGCAAAATCCATCATCTGTGCGTTGATCTAGTTTTGGTCTAGTTTTGGTCTAAACCAACAACCATGAATTTATTAGCTTGCTTACTCTCATTTAATAGTCTTTACCTTTTATATTTCTTTTTGATGTGAGGTTCTTACGGCGTGATATTACCGAATTCAAATTAGTATAGAACATGGCCTATGATTGTACTCTTGGTCCTGGAACCAGAGTACAGTATCACTTGCCTGCTCCAACCACATATGTATAATGCTAAGCACGAGAAAAATCTTACATTGCACTGTGCACTTTCCTCGGCCGCACATACATTGGACTGTAGTACCTGTCCAGCTCCTAGGTGAGAACAAGTACAACAAACATTCATACAAAGTGGGCATTTCTCAGAGCCTCTTCTAACGCAAGATATCATAATCCAACCGCAAGTTCTAGATAAGTCAAACTCAAATCATTCTAATTAAGCCCTAACGCATGCTCTCAATTAGCAAATTGCGAGCTCGAAAACAGCACGTGTTTCCCATTCAAGGAACTCCACATCAAAATCAACCATCAAGAACACAAAAAAAAAATTGAGATTAACTCACTTTGGCAGCATCACCACGCTTCGCTTTCTTATAATTCATGTACACAAGATGCATCGTCGCCAAGGTCGCGACTGCGGCAGCGACCGCGAGAATCGAGCCCTCGTCCATCGGATTGCTCAACAAGCACCTCGGAGACTGGACTCGAAACCCTAATTCCCTCTTTCTGGCCCGGGATCGGAGGCCGCTGGGCCTCAGGTGCACTCCGCATCCGAGGAATTGTCTGCGGATTGACACGGGGAGCTGGAATTGGGAAGATAGGTATAGGGAAGAAGCTAGGGTTTTGTGCTTGGCGGTGATGCTCACCTCCATTGCAGAGAGAGAAGAGAGAAGAGAACCAAACACATCGAGATCGATAGGTTCTTCATCAAAGAGAAATTGGACAGTGGACTACTAGAGTTAAGTCATGTTCTAACTAAGGATCATGTAGCAGACTGTCTGACTAAAGGACTTAGCTCGGTAGAGATGATTAAAGAATGTGACAAGATGGGCTTAGTGGATATCTTTCGTCCATTTTGAGGAGGAGTGTTGACATATTAATAATATGAATGGGGTTATTTGTAAGTTGTGTTTGTAGGGGCCTATATAAGCCCAAGAGATTTCATAATAAGGAATTAGGGTTTTCTCTATTTTCCTCACTATGAAACAAAAATTGAAAAGCTTCTTTTAAGCTCTCAAAGGAGGAGTCCCCCCATCTCCACCAACCACCCAATCAACATCGTGGATCAATGTATGCAAATATATTAACAAATACAAAAGATGAAAGAAACCAGAAAAATCAAGATTTTAACAAGATTCAGGAAAACCTGACTGCATAATGGGGAGAGACTTGGGGTCTTCGTTAACCATAGAATCCTAACTCTTCTGCCAAAATTCAAAATGCAACATGAGATCTCGAGAGGAGTAACCTTTCCGCTAATCTGATACAACATACAAGGAAGTACATAGAAAACAAACTCCCCATTGATAAAAAAAAAACCCCATCTGTTGGTGAAGAAGGTTCACATTTTATGATATTATCGCTCTTTGATTACTTACATATCGCCCTTAAATCTTAATTTAAATGTATGATCGTAAATATCCTTACTTTCCTCCCTAGCATGAGGGTTTCAATCTAGATTTTTGTCTTCTTCTAGAATTCTTTGAGATTTTGAGAGATAATCGGATGACCTGAGGAGTTAAATGGACCTTAAACATAAGTCTGGACCCAAATAAATCCAAAAAATTAAAACATTCAGTACTTCCCGACCATTAATTTAAATCCATCACTATTTCTTAGTCTTTCTGGGGGACCAAACTCATACATGAATACCCTACACTCTCCCCCTATGTTTGTATGCAAGTGTCAACATCCACAGGATATCATGTGCCCTTCACTGAAGTATGATCCTGAATACCCTTCCCTTCCTTCTTAGCATGAGGGTTCTGACCTACACTTACTTTTGTTTTCTTCTAGAATTTTTTGAGAGTTTGTGAGATGATCGGATGACCTGAGGAGAAACATAGGTCCAGAGCCAAATAAATCCAAAACATTAAACTCTTAAGTACTTCCAACCACCTATTTAAATCGATCACTCTTTCTTAATCTTTCTGGGGGACTATACTCATATAAGAATACCCTACCATCTTTTCTTAATCTTTCTGGGGGACTATACTTATATAAGGATACCCTACAATCTCTCCCCACATTTGTAAGTATGTGTCAAAATCCATAGGATATCATGTGCCCTTCAACGACTTGGTCAATGCCGGCAACCATTGAGTTGCAACATGACCGCTGCTGTAATTAGATTTTCCACCATATGAGCTGCAAACCAGACTGTTCTACGTCTTCTGAGCAATCTACGGCAAAATCCATCATCTGTGCGTTGATCTAGCTTTGGTCTAAACCAACAACCATGAATTTATTAGCTTGCTTACTCTCATTTAATAGTCTTTACCTTTTATATTTCTTTTTGATGTGAGGTTCTTACGGCGTGATATTACCGAATTCAAATTAGTATAGAACATGGCCTATGATTGTACTCTGGTCCTCGAACCAGAGTACAGTATCACTTGCCTGCTACAACCACATATGTATAATGCTAAGCACGAGAAAAATCTTACATTGCACTGTGCACTTTCCTCGGCCGCACATACATTGGACTGTAGTACCTGTCCAGCTCCTAGGTGAGAACAAGTACAACAAACATTCATACAAAGTGGGCATTTCTCAGAGCCTCTTCTAACGCAAGATATCATAATCCAACCGCAAGTTCTAGATAAGTCAAACTCAAATCATTCTAATTAAGCCCTAACGCATGCTCTCAATTAGCAAATTGCGAGCTCGAAAACAGCACGTGTTTCCCATTCAAGGAACTCCACATCAAAATCAACCATCAAGAACACAAAAAAAAAATTGAGATTAACTCACTTTGGCAGCATCACCACGCTTCGCTTTCTTATAATTCATGTACACAAGATGCATCGTCGCCAAGGTCGCGACTGCGGCAGCGACCGCGAGAATCGAGCCCTCGTCCATCGGATTGCTCAACAAGCACCTCGGAGACTGGACTCGAAACCCTAATTCCCTCTTTCTGGCCCGGGATCGGAGGCCGCTGGGCCTCAGGTGCGCTCCGCATCCGAGGAATTGTCTGCGGATTGACGCGGGGAGCTGGAATTGGGAGGATAGGGGTAGGGAAGAAGCTAGGGTTTTGGGCTTGGCGGTGATGCTCACCTCCATTGCAGAGAGAGAGAAGAGAGAAGAGGGAGACACATCGAGATCGATAGGTTCTTCATCAAAGAGAAATTGGACAGTGGACTACTAGAGTTAAGTGGAGAGATATAGAGATAGAGAGGATGACGTGGCATAACCGTTTTGCTTTCGTTGGATATACAGCTGCCAGATTTTTTTTTTTAAAGGGTGTTAAGGGGTTGTTTGGTTGTTGTTGGTAAAGTTGTGTATTTATGACACAACTTGGAAAGTTGTTTTTCACCTCATCAATTTTACTTTTATATTTTTCTTTGTTTGTTTTTTATTGGAATCGTAAATTGCTTGTTTGGTTTGCAAATGTAACTTTAATTTTTTGTTTGGAGAGTGTAAAAAGTGGTCCCTACTCAAATGATCATATTGGTTGGAATTAATTATTTTTTTTTCCTAACTTCAATGTCAGCTTTCTCCTAAAGTCGTGTCTTTTTTTTATGAAATCACTTTACAAACCACATCAGTATATGAAATCACTTTACACTATTTTCACAAACTACAAACAAACAATTGAAAGTGATGAAAGCTGACATTGGGACCCACTTTTTTACACTTTACATCCTAACAAACAATTGAAAGTGATGAAAGCTGACATTGGGACCCACTTTTTTACACTTTACATCCTTTTACATGGTAAAAATGGGACCCACTTTTTTACACTTTACATCCTTTTACATGGTAAAAACATACAACCAAACAGCCCCTAATGGTCTGTCTGCAGGCAGAATTCATAAAATGTTCTACATTAAAAGTACAGCTACAACTATAATTTATTTTTATTTTGGAATCAATGCTCTAAAAATCAAAGCATGATGCGTCATGACTCTCCGTATTAATTCTATTATGTATTGGTTTTAAAAATTGTATTTTACTGGGTCCTCATTTTACCGTCTCCTTCCACTAAAAGCCCCTTCATCTACTCCTCTCTCATCTTCTCCTCTTCTCTCCTAATTCTAACTTTCATTGACTACTCCTCTCTCCTCTCTTCCTCTCCTCCTACGCTATTCACCATCAAAAAAGCACATATTCATATCTCAATACAAGACCCAACACCTCAAACCTACGTCCTCCTTCCCTAGCACCATCACCAACGCCGGTGTTGCTGCTCCTCCTCCTCTCATCCTTCTTCCCTTCCCTGAACCCTAACATCGATATCTCCCCGGCACCGTTGTTGTGAGTAGTGTTAGGAATCTTAACCCCAAGATATGTTTATTTTGATGATAACAAATATTATATGTTATATGTATTATGTGCTAACATTTGTTTTGTAGTATCAGAGAAAAATCGACAATGATATTCAAAGAAATACTTAAGACATAAGATGAGTTCTTGTGGGTGCAATATAATATGCAGATCACAGAACCAGTTAAAAGTCAGAAGTAGTAAAAGTCTCTTTTAATGTTAGAACAACACCTCTTATTTATAGTGGTGTTGGAAGGGCAAAACCGTCATTATGGACGAGCATATGATGGCGGTAAAGAAGCATGTGCTAGCAGCCGAGTCAGCTCCTGCTTTACAGGTGTTGGCTGACAACTGAAGGAGAGATCACCTCAGCATTGAATGAGAAGTGATCGGAGGCATGGGAGATGACGATGCTAGAGGAGATTTAGCAAGAGATATTTTCATGCGAGCCAGATCTACAAGCCCTATGAAGAGGAGGATGAAGAGGTAGAGGAAGTGAATCCTAATGCAACCAGCAATACTGATAATCTCAATGATGAAGCGGACTTGCAAAAAAAACCGTACATCTACTAGAGTTACTCCTAAAAATGTTCCTACTCCCTCTGGTGGTAAAGAGAAAGGTAAGAAGAAAATTGGCAAGAGAAATGAGGAATTGGAGATAATGCACAAATTCATGGAGAGGTAGATAGTGTGTCCTACTCTCTTCAACGTGCTCATGTTATCCACTAGTCTGAAAAACTTTCAAGTGTGTTGGGTGTTGGAAACAATCGTCAACCTGTGCCCTTCGGATCTCGTGTCAAAAGAATAGCTAGCAAGAAATCACAGCAAAACAAAAAACTTGCAGGAAAGAATAAATAAAGAAGAGAGAACACAAGATTTAACAAAGTTCGGCAAACGTGCTAACATCCTCGGGAGCCACACCAGAAATTCTTTGATTATTGATGAAGATTACAATACCTGCAAACTGGTATCTCTTTCTCTAAGATCTCTGATCTTAAAGTGCTAGATTTTCTCTGAAAATCGTTGCTAAAATCGCTCTTAAAAATCAGAAACAGCAACAGAAAAAACGCAGCTGTCACATCCCTATTTATAGGGAAACCCTAAAAATAAAACATAATAGGTTTAAAAAATTTAGTGTGTTTATAGGTTTTAAATTTTTAAGGTCTTTTTTTTTATAAATTTTTAATTTTATGGGTGTTTTTATAATTTTTAAAACTTACAATATATTTTCTCCAAAGTTAAAAAATTTCTAGCTAGCATATGTTTTTCATATTTCTCACTAAATTAAAATAAGTAAATTTTGTAATTTTAAGATGATTTAATAAAATTTTGAATTTGTAGGGACGTCTTTGCATTTTAAAAAACTTGGAGAATATTTTTTACAAACTCCGAAAACTTTTAGGTGCTGGTTAGCATATGCTTTTTAGATTTCTCTGTGAACTGAAATAAGTAAAGGATTTGAATTATATAAAACGTATATCTTTTATCCAGTAACATGTTAAGTCTCATTATGAATAGAACAAATCATTTAATTACCAATTCAAAAAAGATAAGATAATTAGAATATATTAGGATAACAAGGTGATATTCAAAAAAAACTAATGATAATATTGACTATAGAAAGATTTTCCCGAACTCGTACTTTTAAAGGGAGTATGATATGATGTTTTCCCATGTTGGTACTTACGTCTGCTACATATCTATGATGCTTTTTTCTTATTCAATTTGGTTTGGATATATTTTGGATTTTTTGTGCCATCTTCTGAGCCTTATCTCCAAACAATCTTCAATCATAAATTGGACCTTATTTATTTCAATACGTTTTCATACGATATATTTGAATATTTACTACAAAAAATACCAAACAAAGAAATATAAGGAAGAGGATACATATTTTCAAAAATATATTTTCATGCTCAACTTTCCTCAATCTTATCTTTAATTCTTTTACTTTCATGCCATTCTTATTTCTATGTTCTCCAATTGTGTCATCATTGCTCGAGACTTAGCTGAATGGCCCATGTACCTCTGCATCTCCCTAAGAGAAAAAAAAATTACATTGAATACTTGGGTAATTTGCACAACCCCAAAAATGCAACACCCCTCCCCCCCCCCCCCCCCCCTTATGTGATCCTCTTTGCAAATGTTCAGAGCAGTATAAATCCTATGATCACATTCCACTCCTCCCTATCTATAACAGCCCTTGTATATTTTCATTTTTCTTACACCGAGTTTATAAAGTTTTTTACTCCATGGTAGTTGTTGAAGGGTGTTGCGATGCTAGATATCTCTTGTGAAGGATTGGTCATAACCGTTGCCCCTTTTTTCACCATTGGAAGCAATTGATGTACATTCAAATAAATAGTAGATGTGCTTGCCACTGTAGTTTGAACAAATAAATATTTGTCCATTATGTGCGGTAAGTGAACCTGAGGTGCTTGTTTACTTTTTTTTATTAATGATGTTTTCTTAAATTCCAAACTGAGGAAAAGAAAGATACTGATTTCCTAAAGAGGTTGTTTCTTGTTTTTAAATTTTAAACCAACCCGAAGAATTTTATCAATACAAGATTCTAAGCCCTAACAAGAAACAGTAAAGGAAAAAAGCTGCACCCACACGTGCTCTCTATTTTCTAACAACCAAGCGATGCGAAGTGGAACCTTCTTAATCACGACTCTCTACACAAGTGAGGTTGTTTACGTTCATGTTATTCAAAGCAAATCACAAAAGAAAGCAATAAATAGATGATACACCTTATACCTTATGGGAAATTTTTTGGCACAAGATTAAGACAATAAATATTGAGGTATAGCCTAGACAAATATAGCCCATTGTACATAACATTAGGTGGCTTTATGTTGTATCTAGCCTATAATTACTTGTCATTGGTTATCTTGTATGCATATATGAGAGCTTGCCCCTATTCATGATAAGGATTTAATATCAATTTGTTGTTTACCTATGCTTCAGCTCAAGAACCATATTAGCATTTATCAGAGTTATGTTAATTCCACACTCTAAAGCCATAGTAGGAGTTCTGAAGCTGACAAATCAGTCCACTGAACATGGGCTAAATACTATTCTTGAATTTATGTTTGTAACTAGTGATAAGAGAAAGGGGTTTTTCCCATATATACCCCTCAAATATTTAATATTTGTAATCTCAATGTTGATGTCTGCAAAATTATCCCTCAAAACTATAATATCGAGTATTTTTACCGCTCTTAACTTAAGAATGTTTGTTTCTTAAACAACACAATATCAAGATTTCCAATAATTTCCAACAGGTCCGCAACCATTTCTATTTTAAAAACTAAAATTGTTAAGTGGAAGAGGTAGAAAAAATCAAAGCGAGAGAATTAGAGAGTACATTTGCAAATACCAAGAATTGAAGGATTGTTTTGCAAATATGAAAAACGTGAGGACTACATATGCGAAAACCCAAGGAAAAAATAAAAATGAAAAATTCGCATCTACCACGGTGGATCAAGCTTGGGTACATAAGTTTCAGACTGGTGCATGTTGCTCCTCTCCATCTCCGCCTCCATCTCCCTCAACGGCTGTACCTCTCTCCATCTCAAAACTCAGAAAAACCCCATTGATGGATTCTCACTTGCTTTCGGGTCTCAGTGTTAGATTTTAAAAAATCAAGAGTGTTAGGCGCAGAGTCGCGCCGTCACGCCGCGGAAGTGATATAACCCAAGAGAAAGCCCTAGATTTTATTTTCATAAAAACTTAAGCTAACATCTATATTCCCGTTTCACAAAGGAAACAAGAATAGAAAGTGAAATATTTCAACAAAGTGAAATATACACTAT